GCGGGCGGGACCGTCCCGCCACCGCCTCACCGAGACCTCGGCTACACCCCGGGTCCTCGGCGCTGCTCTCTCCGCGGCTGTGGGCGGCGAAGGCCGGGCTCTGAGCCCTGAGGCTGCAGCAGGGCCTGCTCGGTGGTGATGGTGGTGGTCCAGGCGCTTGCAGAGCTCCCACAGGGAGAGTGGTCTCTGTAAATTTGGGAGCTTTCAGTGGGATGGGTGTAGCCTATGCTTGTCATAACAGGAGAGGAAAAGTGAGCTGTTTTGTAGTAGTTTAGAAAGCAGTGATTTTAAAGAATGTTATTTTTAGTGTTGGGAGAAATTTCTATTACTGTTTTTTGAAAGTTGCAGAAGAATAGTGGGGTTTTTCATGAGTGTCATGATGATCACGTTGTTCCTCTGTCTTCAGGGAGCTGCAGGCCATATTTCAGAATAAAATATAGAAGTGCAGAAATAAATAGTAGTTGCTCGGTAACTTCATATTACAAACTGACTTTAAAGTTTTGAAGTGTACCTGAAAGATCCAGCAAGATGATCCAGGATGTTATATTAAGGCCACCTGGTAAACTTTGCTGTGTGCTCATGCTTGGAGAATTCATTCAGGTGCAAGCATTAGTTGGGAGGATAATGGTGTATTTTTCTCTGAGTGCCTTTCCCACAGCAGATGCCCAGTGGCTTTGTAGCTTTGGCTCTGCTTTCCCCAGGGCAGAGAAGGTAATTGGTTGTCTCTTTAATCTTCCTCCTGTTTTTTTTTTTGTCAGCACCATCAGCCATCCCCAGTAGGGTGTGATGTTTCAGTTGTATCACAAAACAGTTATATAATGCAGTGTTTACCTTTTACTTTTTTTCTGTATTTCTTCTCTGTAAATCTGCTCTGAGTATGCTCAAACTCTTGGGGTTGGGTTCAGGTATCAGTGAAACCAATGGGAAGATGGCGATTAGCCTGAGCCTGTTCCTCAGCTCTGCTGACAGAATTAAAAGTGTGCTGTTTGCACAAGAACCCTGCTGACATCCCAGTCAAGGGGTTTTCAAACTTCTTTTTTTCATTCCTACTGTCCTTCCATCAGGTCAGGGAAGCAGACACCAGCTGCCTGTAGGAAATCTCCTTGTGCCAGCCATGGTTTTGCATCTGGTGGGAATTCCTGGTGGGTGCTGCTGATGGTGGGCAAGGGACCGGAAACAAGGTTAACAGAGGTGCAGAGCTGGCACGTAGTGCGAGTACTGATGTGGAGGTGGATTATGTGGTGTTAGCTGGCCTCAGAGATCACAATTTTCTGTGCCTGACCTCTGTCTTGGTCTTAATTATTAGCAGAAGTCATGTGGAGACTTGTTCTGATAAAGATTGTCTTTCCCAGAGAAGTCACCGTATTTTGAGACCTTAAAATGAGCACCTGCACTGTTAGTAGGCAGTCCCCTTTTTGCTGATGACTGCTAAATTTTATGCAATATGCACTTCACAGATTTTTTTTTTCAAAATAACATGTTGAGTCGTGTCTGTGATTTGCTTTTTCAGGGCAGCCTGAAGACCAGCTGAAGTACCAGTTTGCCCCTGCTCTCCTTTGTATTTCCTGGATGCTTGAGCTTGTGTGCTGATGGTTTATTAGTATCAGCAGTGTCACTCCCAAATGCCTGGCCAGTAAGACGGGATCTCTTACAAGAAGGAGAAGACAACCCCACAATATTTGTTCTCATTCTTCTGAGTGTGTCTTTCTGGGGAGAGGTTTCAAAGCCCTGTGCTCCTGTGGCAAGGAGCTCGGTGGAGTCTATGGTGACAGATAATGAGGCTTGGTGGGGAGCATGGCTGAGAAATGCGGTTTGTCCTTCCTCTCGTTTTCTTCTGAGATTTGTGTGTTGCTTCCTCTGCAAACTTGTGTTCTCCTGCAAAGGTGGGTGCTTGGTTTTCCCCAACAGTTTCTTGAATGAGAGATGTCTTGGTCTTTTAACAGAGGATTTTTGGCAGAAGGCTTGCATTTTGCTTTGCTGTTTGTGCCTGTTGGTGTGAGAGTTTCCCCAGATCATGCCAAGACACAGAAGGTTTTCGTTGTTTCTCTGTGGTGAAGGCATGGCTGGGGTTGTCAGACAGTGGGGGGGCCTTTGGGAAGGAAGTGCAGCACACATCAGTGGATGACAGCTAACCTGGCAAATACTGCAAACTCTGAGCTTGATAAAATACTCAAGGGCTCCTAGAATGAAATGAGGAACTGTGAGTATGAAGGCGGCTCTGATTTGATCTGTGGGCAAGGTTATCACTTAAGCTGAATGCTTATTGTGGTACCTTTCAGGTTTGTTGTGCTGATATTTGCACATAGTAATTTAGTTCACCAAAAATCAGCACTTCAACAGATGAGCTGTGTTTGGTAACTGAGAAGAACAGGACTCCAAATGATCAAAGTAGGTAGGTCCCAGTAGAAACAATCTTTACCAGTAGGAGGGCTGCCTGTCTTGCTCCTAGCCTGCAATGACAGAGAAATTAAAGGCTCCTCTGAGGGCTGGCTGCCCTCTGAGCCTGCAGGGAAAAGCACCACAATTTTATTGGTGGGAATTGCCCTGAGGAGGGATCATGTCTGTTAAGTGCAGGTGACTGTAGGTGACTTCAGCTCTGTTCACAGGAGAGAGAGAGAAAGAGTTCGTTAGGTCTAGACAGCCTAAAGAGGAAGATGGGCCAGAGCCAAGAGCAGTCCTGGCCTTGGGCATTGATTTCAGTCATGCTGCTGCCTTGGTTTGCCCAAACATCTCCTGGCTGAGGCTGGAGCTTAGAGGTTGACCCTGAGGTGGGTACCTGCACCTACACTGTGGCCACCTAAGATTAGGTGAGGTGTATTCTCCAGAGACTGCTGCATGTGACCTGGGAGTAAAGGACAAGTAGGGCCAGTGCAGAGTGTTTAAAATACAGAATGTGTTTAAAAAACAACCCACAAACACACCAAAGCACAAAGGGGCAAGCACTGCCTCTGGTAAATTCCAATTCTTTTGTTTGCCTGTGGTAAGTTTTAGCATTAAGATTTGTGCTCTTCTGTATTTTTTGCCTTATCTTGAGGTTGCATGTTACATTCTTTTGTGTTTCCCCCACTCCTCCCGCAGAAGTAAGAATAAGTACTAACACCACCCAAAGCTCTAATATATCTGAGGTCCATTGTCCTCTCATAACTGTAACACTCAACCCAAAAGAGTAAGTTTCGTTCACACCTCATTTGAAAACAAAAGCTTTTTCTTTTCTTTTTTTTTTTAAATCTTATAAAAGGCTACACTCTTTTTGCATTTGTCATGGGGTAAGGGAGCACCAGGCAATGTGTCACTGCTAAGCTGAATTCACCAAGTGGACCAGTGGAGAAACAGCCCTTCAGGGAGGTTACATATGTGCAGAATCACAGTTAACTAAGACCATCATCTGGCACTCCGGTGGGTCAGTGTGGTCTTACCTGGGGAGGAATACAACACTCAACTCTGACCTGGCTCAGTGTCAGGCTCTGGGCAGTGGCACAGCACCAACACATAATATTACAACTGGTGTCCTTATCATTTTGGGTAGCTGTGTAATGATGTTTCCCCACAGCCTCTTTTATTGGGGAGTTTTATAGATAGATGTCAGCACAGGCTGTCAGCCAGATCAGCCCAAACTATCACCATACAGCTTTCCAGCTCTTTCAGGTATTGTTCTCCTATCACTTTCACATCCATAGCTTGTGTACCAAGACTCCTCACACAATTCTTGTTTACAGTGCCTGGTCAGGCAGGGTCATTATGTTCAGTTATTCCAGTAGTGATCAACACAAAAATCCTGATGCTCCTGTGATGTTCCACCTCTCAGCTGTTCTGTCATCTTTCAAACATCTTTTATACATGCATTCATACTTACAAACAATGATGCACAACACAAGTAGCTCAAACTTGTTAAAGTGTATTCAATTGTTGCACACTAAATTATAAAAGACGTTGGTATGGCACAAATGGTCAACATTGGGTCCTAATAATATTAGACTACAAAAGCAATTTTTTGTTAATCATCTTGTTTTCAAGGAACTTTCCAGACAACCCAGTTGCTCAAGATAAACCTCAAACTTCACATGCTTTTGTCAGACCCTACAGCTTGATCTGGTGTGGATGTCATAGAACAGCATGCAGTACTTGTACTGCAGATGCTCTGTGTCCACCAGCCCAAGGCACATTACACTTACACACCCCTGAAGTGCCATGCTGTTGAGACACCTCCTAGCACTACCCAGTAAGGCTTGCATACATCCTCCCCCATGAGGGACAGGATTTGTCAAGGGAAGACTTTACTCAGATATACACAGTTAACAGAGACCTGCCCCGGTTATCATTACCGACCAACCACAGTGATACCTCTGCACAGCTTTCCAGTAGTTTCAGGTGCTGGTGTCCCGTTGCTTGTAGATTAACAGTCCATACATACTAAGGCTTGTCATACTCTACTGTTCTTGTCTGCATTGCTCCATCAACCAAAGCTTATTATACCAAGTTATTCAACTTCTGACCAAGACAAGATCTTGATGCTCCTATGACATCATTTAAAATCGATTATAGACAATGGTTTCCAATTACATTGTTGATGCAATTGGCTTGGTTTGTCATTTTTTCACATTAGATTAGAACTTCCAAACCAGCAGTAATCGAAATATTTATTTTGGATAGCAATAAAGTTGAACACTAATCTCTGTCCAGTTCCAGCCTGAAGTAAGGCCAAGTATGAGTTGGTATGCATCCATAGGTCTGGACACTTCTCCCATTTATTCTTCTTTCCAAGAAAGCTTTGGGCTGTGCTCTTGAAGTGAAGCTAATTATCTTGTCTCTTAAGTTAAGTTAATTATCTTGTCTCTTATCTTCAGGCTGTGATTACATAGTTAATTCTTTCAGGGTGGATCTTTCTTCTGTGCTCACATATCCTTAATCCGGCAGCCTTAAGTAATGTCAATGCAAGACAGAAGACTAAATAAAATCAGCAGCGAGTTTATTCTTTGTGTTTTCTGCTTTGCTATTTCAACCATGCAGAGACACTCATGTAATGAGTATTGCATTATTATAGCCCATATTTTGTTCTTTAGAACAATTTTACTATTTCCTTCCACCAAAGAAGAAAAACCCAAAGTCACTGAATACATACACTACGCCTTCACTGGCAGGAGAGATACAGTGTGCAATCTACATAGTGGATAAACTGTAGGCAATGGCAGAAGCTCATTAGACCCCAAAGGGCTCCAGGAGGGCAGGATAAAACTATCTTCAATATTCTGCATTGAAAGGGTACTCCTTGTGATTTTTGCACCTGAAAGAAATCAGAGGAAACCTTACTCTCAAGGCTGAAATAAATGCTATATAGAATTACACTAGCTGTATAGAGGAGCCTGCAAGGGAGGCTCTGAATTGCACAACTGCAGAATGAAATTAAGGGACTTATCAGTGTAGAAATGGCACACACGACCAACAAATTCAAGTATCTTCCTATTATTCAAGCACTGAATAGTGTCTAGAAAGTAACCTGGTCTAAACAGAGTGTGGCCTTTCAGCCAAGATGTCTTCTCTGGCTATAAGCTTCCAAGGTGCACATCTGCAAGCAGTTATTCTTCATACTACACTTCAGATGGTCACTCCCTGTCCCAGCCACCCAGGTAAGAGCTGACATTAGTTTATAATGACAATCAGTTTCTGTGAGTTATAAGTTTAAAACTGCTGTATGCTCATTTCTGCAACATGGAGACAGCCAAAGATATCAACTAGAACCTCCTTTTGGAATTCCAGGCACACAAAGCTTCCTAGCGAAAGGATTCACAAAGACTGCACAGTACGACTTAAACTCATCCTTTAGTAAATACCATGTAAAAAATAACTCCACTAAGATGTTAAACAGATGGTTCATCCCTCAAATAATTTCAGATCTCAAAACGTACCCAATTTAAACAGCGATACCAGTGCCTGTGAGATTAGAATACAGATTATTGAAAACATAGGAGTTTGAAGGAAACAAACTTACGTGATCATTTCACAGATCCTCCAGTTTCTGTTTAAGCTGAGAAGGGTTGCCATCTCCTCTTTAGTCAACTCAAAGTCAAACACCTAAAGAGAAAGACAGCTGGAAATCACCTCTTTGAACACACCAAATCAGAAGCAAGATTTACAAGATTAAAGAATAAGTTCAAATCAGAAAGTACTGGTTAAAAGTGATAGCTTTGAGACAGGGAAAGGAAGTCTCTCTGGATTTTCAAGATTCTACTAGCAGAAGGAAGAAACAAAAGAAATTGCCAGTTGCAGTTACATGTGCCAGCTATTTCAAGGTGCTTGGTGAGCACTTAGCATTGCAGAATGCCCCGATTTGTGGAAGATGCATTTATCTCCAATTCCAAAGAAGCATCTGGAAAACTTTCACATTTCAATAAATCCAGCTGTTATTCCTGAGATCCTCATGTCCAACATCAGGGCAACAACCCTGACTTTACAGTCAGAGGAACAACATGATTTATCGATGCCAAGACTTTTCCCTCAACATTACTTACTCTATATCTTGAGGAATGTTACCACACTTAGACTCCATGCAAGCCCACCCAGCCAATTCATCACCAAGTCACAGAAAGAAGACACTATGTAAGATGACTGATAAGGCTATCAGTGCATTGTTTCTAAGAGCTCTGTCCATCTCTCCAACTATAGTTTTCACAGAATCACAGAATATTAGGAGTTGGAAGGGACCTCGAAAGATCATCTAGTCCAACCCCCCTTCCAGAGCAGGATCACCTAGACTAGGTCACACAGGAACACATCCAGGCAGGTTTTGAATGTCTCCAGAGGAGACTCCACAACCTCTCTGGGCAGCCTGTTCCAGTGCTCTGTCACTGTCACAGTGAGAAAGTTTTTCCTTATGTTCAGGTTAAACCTCCTATGCTCCAGCTTGCTCCCATTTCCCCTTGTCCTACCATTTGACATCAGAGAGAAGATCCTGGCTCCTTCCTCCTGACACTCAACCTTTACAACTTTATAAACATTACTGAAGTCACCCCTTTCATTGTAGCCCTGGTTTCCAGAGACAAAACACCCAGTCCTCTTGCCCAAGGAGGACTTGGGAAGGGCAATAAAGGACCCCTGCTTGCTGTGCAGGGAGAAGCCATGCCATCCCTGAAGGGCAGCACCCAGCTTGCTTGTTGTCACCTACCTTGCAGTTCTCCACAATGCGCTGTAGGGTGACAGACTTGGGAATCGCAATCACATTTCTCTGGATCTGGAAGCGAAGGACAACCTGCAAGAACAGATCTAAGTCAGAGAGAGGACAGCTCCTGCTGTGGATGAAGCAAAGCCTGTTCCAACAGCTGTTTTCCGTAAGCTACACCCACTTCTGCAGAGCTGCTTTTCAAATAATTTCCATCCCTCTGGCCTAGGTAGTGCTTCCTAGAGCAAAACAGAAGTGGTAGAGACCTACATGGAAGGCCTCCTTTTCCATTCAGCTTTGGGACAGTCAATTCCTTTTCTTCCTACCTGAACTCTCAACAGTCTATGCAAGGTTTTCATTCTCTGCAAGAGGACTTGAGAGGGGAACTAACATCCGAAGATGGGTCAAGAACCTTTTTCTGCCTGAGGGCCAAAGAGCTTCTTCATGTATAAATTGCAGGCCACATAGTAGACAACCTGCATTGCTACTTAACACCAAAGAACACCACAATTTACAGGGTGGTAAAGGGCTGATAGTGACTGTACTCTCTCTTCAGGTGTAGTTTCTTTAATGGTCATGTTACAGGAAGAGGTACCCATAGTCTGGCACCTATGTACCTGTGCTGGGGTTTTGTTGTGCTTGGCTGCAATCTCTTTGATCTTGGGGTCATCCAGAAGGGGAGGCTCCTCTGGCTTAGCCCTACAGAGAAACAAAAAGGAAGAAATTGCAAAGAATCTCTGCAAAAAGATTCTACTTAGTATGAATATTAAAAAAGTGTAAGTGTGCACACACCTGCACCATTACTCATTCAGTTAGTCCGAATGCTTCAAACTTAAACATCACTAACCCACGTGGAAATTACCTGTCAGGGCGTCCAAGGGGACAATATGCTGTCACAGTGATCCCTTTGGATTGGCAGTAGTTGATAAGCTTTTCCTGGGAAAGGTATGGATGACTCTCAATCTGCCAACACAGGAGTAGAGACTGTGTAGAACCACTGTAGTGTTCCCATGCTTCAGAGATTTTCTTCTAAATCTTAATTAATCCTACTCTGCATGTGGTCTGTGCAACAAAACAAGACTAATTCTATAGGGCATCAACATAATTTATATTGAGTCCTTATGTGCTTTTTGGTTCTGAGAGCCTTTATAAGTCATTGATTACAGTCAGAATGATAGCTTGTGTCTGGATTCTTTATTCTGCTAGAGAGAACGTGTCACAGGGAAATATTCACAGAGCAAGATTTAGGAGTACATGCTGTGTCTACTTTGTTCTCGCTTCTTCCATATGCTTATTCAACTGTAATCAGATCTTTATAATCCCTGAAAACTCTTCACCTGTAGTCACTTTGCAGCTTACCTGGTTATTTGCAGGCTTGTGTTTCAGTCCCGGCTTGTTCAAGAGTCTTTCAATCTGTTCACAGTTAAAGTTGGAGATGCCAATGGCTTTTACCAGACCAGCATCCACCAGCTCTTCCATGGCCTGACACAAAGGGGAAGAAAGTCAGCATCAATTGTACATAACCTGAATTAGTCCTGATGTGGCTTGTTCCCCCTTATGGGAAGGGCAAAGTAACTGTTTGGACTTGCCAAGTTTTTGATTCTCAAGGGGGAAGTGAGTACTGGTAGTATCTGTGCTGTGTCACCTACCACAGTAAAACCCAGAATCATTGTTAAGACTGAAATTCACTAACACAAGGAAAAGAAGACTAAGTCTACTATTGTGACAGCACTGGAGGGCTATGCCCTAGGTTGTGATCCTGCCATCCTCCTAAGTGTCTATTTCTGCAAAATCTGTTTGAGCAGTTCAAGAACTGCATGAGAACTGCAGCGACACAGTTATGGTCAAGAAAATAACTTTTTCTAACCTCAGCCTGCTCTCCAGCTCCACTGAAAGTGACTGTGCAGCTCAGTGACTCAAGAAGCTAATCCTCTGTGAACAGAAATAATAGCTTGATGAAGCATGCACATTTTTAAAAGCTACCACATACTTTTGTGAATTCTTTCCAACTAATTCCACATATATGCACAAGCCATTCTGTGTCTGTTGAAGCTAACACCAGTTCTGAGGACAAGAGACATGATTCTCCTGCTGTGGCTGAACTTACCTCCCATGTATGCAGAATATCTGTGTTGCTGGGTATAGCCATGCCTTTGTCATCTGTGGGAAACAGCTCCTCTCCTGCCTGTCAGAGAAAAAATGTTCTTGAAAATCTTTTGAGAAATTCACTTGATAATGCGAGACCTCACAACCATGATAGCTTAAGCTCCTAATGCAGGCAAGAACACTAATTCTTGTCTACATTCAGTCATTTCTTCCTGACAAGAAGAAGTAGTTCCTTAGGTACTGGGAACACATTGCTTTGGTCTATACAACACCAGATCTGCTAAAAACAGGTATGTGCAGTGACAGGTCTTCCATGACAAAGCTCAGTGTAAAGCCACTAATAGTAGGAAAATTAGAAGAGCCTTTGTGTACAAATTTTGAAAAGACACCAAGACTGGACTGTGTTTGACAGCTGTTTGCCACTGTCACCATAAGACAGTTTCATTTTCAGGGCTCTGTTAACATAAAGCTAAAATAGAGCATGAAATAAAGGTGAGCATCTCAAAAGCAACAGGTAGGATGAAGACCTATCAGACTGTAGCAGCAAGGAAAGGCTAAGACTAGAAGTAGTCAACCTGAGAGAGACATCAACTCCTTCACTAATCTGTGGAAGCATTTAGGCCCCTGAGAAGTTTCACCTTTTGAATTACTGTCTCAGTGAAACAACACTGAGGCAAGGTCAGCTCAACCTGTACTGTATTAAGGATTAGTGAATAAAGAGAGAAGTGGAAAACGGGAATATTTTCTCTTGCTCTGTGATTCTGGAACATGCACAGGAAAATTTGTCGGGTTTCAAAATACAGGCCTCCTTCCCTCAAAGGGTAATTTTCAGATGAGCATACAATGATGTGTAAGAGAAGGGAGAGCAGTCTATCTTAAGCTTGCAGCTGGGGGACCTGCCCCTAGTTTTCAGATCATCATTCCCAGGACCAAAGTGCTGTGCAAGTAGCAATCTCAGGGACAGAGATCAAGAACCTGGCTTACATGGCCAGAGTAGAGCTGAGCACCAGAACAGCAGTGGTACACAGAGACACAAGATTACCTTTCTCAGACAGCAACTGTTGGGCTGTAAAGCCATATACCTCCCCAAAAGCAGCAGTCACAAGAAACAAATCCAAAGGTATCACCCTTACTGTACCTTGAAACCAAAAGGCCAGTGCATGAGGTAGAGATCCAGGTAATCCAGTTTCAGGTCAGCAAGAGTCTTCTGGCAGGCTCCCTTTACCAGAGGTTTGTCATGAAATGTGCACCACAGCTAGAGACAAAAAACAAGGCATACCATGACCTTCTCGTTAAACCTCTTGGATACTCTCCTGCGTAGGACAGAAGTGCTCCACCTCCTTTGGAAGGTGATGTGTAATTGGGCCATCCTAATGCTCTTCAGACAAGGCTTGCTCTGTGACGGGACAGGCCCATGAGACTGAAGGCAGTACATGCAGTGGCAGCACCAGTATTTGAGCAGGATTATAACAGACAAAGTCCTCCAAGTCCATTAGTTAGATCACTTGTTCTACTCCTTTTACACAAGGTCTACCTTTGCAATAGATGGGTTTTAAATGAATACAGATATCCATCAGATATGACCATGTATAAAACTCTTACACTGAAGGTAGCAGGAAAAGCCATGAAAATACAAGACAAATCACAAAGAAGTGGTTGGCACCAACCTTTATCAAGGTAAGAAGTCACTTCAGAATCCAGCTAATGATCCTCTTTTCCTTAGCAATCAAGAGAAAGAGAACCCACCAACCACGCCTGCCTTGGGACAGGTGCTGAGCAGGTTACACTGTTCCAAAGTGCCCAGAACCTCATCTTCCTCTCACAGCAGAGGCACCCCTTTGGCAGGGCTGCGAGCCTGGGTGATGGAACAAGCACCAGCCACTGCCAGGCTTTTCTCCCTTGCCAGGCTTTTCTCCTCGGCTGTGCTTTAGCAGTCTGTGGGGTGCTGTTACCAAACTGGTACTGCCTCTGTATCAGTCCATTACACCAAGCGATCTCAGACTTCTGCATTACAGCTTTCTTCCTTGCTTGGTGCCACCTGGCCCTCTCTACCTTTTCCTGCCTCCCTTTCCCTGCACAAATGCCCTGTAGGTGGCCTTTCTGCTCCAACAGAGGTATGAGATGGAAGGCCAGGCTCCTCCTGATCCATCCCCCAGCACTTCTGGGTCTCCTCAGGAGAGTGCCAGACTACATCATGCCTGTGATGCTCAAGTTCTCAGCAGATTTTTTTGTGGGGAAGGTGTGTGTGCAGAAATAAAGTCTTGACTTCCTTCAGTCTTATCAGACTGACTAGAGAAGAAAGCCGAGACCAGACAGGATAAAGGTATTTCTTCTCCCTGCTCAAAGCTCAGGGAACTCACTTTTCCCATCCAATGGGAACAACAAAAATTACTATCAGTGGACAGGAAAGAGTCAAACTGTATCACCATGCTGATGAAATGAAGCAACAAAGTATCAGGAGTGATTTCATTTACTCATAATGTGAACTACTTTAGTTTCCCCACTGTAAAAATATCACAAATAAAGCAAGTCTATCCATGACACAAAACCATCTGATCCTTACCTTACTGACCACAAAGAGGTCCTCTCGTTTCACAACACCTTCCTTGATTTTCTGCTGGATCCCCTCCCCAACTTCCTTCTCATTCTGGTACACATAGGCACAGTCAAAGTGGCGGTACCCAGCATCAATGGCAGCCATCACTGCAGCTTCCACCTTACCTGGGGGGGCCTGAAGGGATAAAGGTGAAGACATGTCTCAATTTGGGATTCTGACATGGTGTTTTTTATGTAGGTGGAGGGTAGACAAACACACAGAGGGGCTCCAAGAAGAGCTTTTCTATAAGGCATTCTTGGCTGTGCACACATCTCAGTGCAGGCTCCTGAGTTCAAAGCCAGCCCCCGGCTACTCCTCCGCCACCCCGCTTCCAGGCAGGGCTCAGCCCAACAGCTTGGCAGAGCTGAGGCCCCAACACCAGTGCAGCTCTCCACGGCCACCAAGACCCCCTCACTGCCCCATGGCCCTGCTCACAGGAGAGGCCCCGTACCCCGCTGCAGGAGGGCTCGCCGCGGCTACCATTACCTTCCATGTGCCCAGCCCCAAGAGCGGGATCTTGGCCGCACCGCCCAGCCGCCCGGAA